CGTGATCAAATGGCGGGAGTAACGAGATTCTCTTGCCAATTTTTACAGCGATGGCAGGGAATAAGAACCAAGGAGCTTATATGTAGGGCGGATTCTAGAGCGATCCGAGCAAAAAAGTGTGATGTAAGAGACTGGAGTCTCCTATGAGAAGATTATTTCTCGTCTGCAGCCAGTAGATTTGTAAAGAAATTCGACAATATGAATTGATGATGGCGACTTCTTTCGTGCATCTTATGATCTGAGCTAATGGAAAACGGGCTTTTCAAGGTCGCAAACAGGACTTCGATTTCGCGCTATGAATACTCTGGTATCGCGTTAATTTTTGAGTTTCTCAAACAATGCTTAAACATAACCTAAACCTGTTTTTGATAGTTTCTTATTGTTTCTGCTTGTATGGTGAATCATAGTTAATAGAGAGGGAATGGTTATGAAAGCCGACAAACTAATTTGTTTTGGACGTTCGTTCGCTTTTTTTTGGCCTTGACGGTGCACAAAACAATAATTGTTTACTCCGCACTGAGGAACTAACCAATAGAAACGCGTTGGTTACGTAATTTATGCATAGTATATGAGCGAAAAAGAAAGGATTGTGTACTATCGTGGACCTTCCGACATAAATCTTGGCATCTTTGTTTGCTCCTTTGATGTTTGCCGGGTTTCATAACAATTTCCCTCTAAATTAAATACTATGGGCGAGTCTGCAAAAGTCTTTGAAGTAATATACCAGACACGAAAGACAGTGTTTGACTACATTTCCAAACACCGAGAAGAGAGTTGAAAATACGACGCGTAGCGGAGAATTTTTGACGAACTTCGAGGNTGGTCAAACGCTGTCTTGAGTGTTTGATATATCTTCTCAATCGAAACTAAAACTAAAGATATCTAAACACCGTGACGGTCATGATTTCCTTTGTTTAAACTTGATAAATTATTAATGAGTTTGAGAAAGGAACTCATTTTCATAGTGCAGCGCGTGCACTTTCAACTCCGAGTCGGTGTTTTCAATTGTCAGCAAATCTTGACAAAGATTTCTTTCGTTATCTTTTGACCTTTAGATGCTGCAAACAGTTTCCACCAATGTCCAAAGACTGGTTTTCACTAGCGGCGCAAGCAGAAGCGCAAACACAAGCGCAAAGAGAATACGTCTTATTTGACCGTGAAAATGGCCTTGAAGCAGGCATAAGCACAAGCGCAAGCACAGGCAAAAAGTTCAAATTTTTTCCTTTTTCTTTTGCTTGCGCTTATGCTTGCGTTTGCGCTGCAACAAGTGAAAACGAAATACCACTCA